GAGAGAGAGAGAGAAAGAGGGAAAGAGAAAGAACAGCAAAGATTGACTTGACGCTCTTAGCTAGTTAATTGCAACGATTAAACATAGTAAACTCGACGAGATTTGCCTACCTACTTTGTGCCCATTAAAAAATCAAATTTACTCGAACGATGCAAAAAAAAAAAGTCATTTTCTTTGATAATTGAATAATTTGATATAATAATTTTAAATATTTAACGACGAAATTAAAAATAGAATTATTTAAGTTTTCCAACTCGTTTTAAATTGAAAATATCAAAGTTACATTTCCAAGGATGTAACGATTCAAAAAAATTAAGCAAAGATTAAAAAAAAAAAAAAAAGAAAAAGATGGATCGCTCGCATACCTGGTGTGAGCCTTTCCTGCGGAGGATATCCTAGCACCTGTGTTCCAGTTAAAGACACGACGATCAGGATTTTGACAACTATCGTCTTCATTCTCACTCCTGATCTAACCTACTACTCTATTCACAAAAATAGTTGGAAACACGAGAACAACGATTTGATGGACACGTATCCGAAAATGTTCAATTTCGTTGAAGGAAACTTCCGATTTCGATCGTGAAAAGATTTGTTAATTGACAATCTAAGTCTGGCGTGACGGTAGTCGGCAGAGCTCCTGCCACTGTCGTACTGTGCGATAGTCTGGAGGGTCGGCAGGCGCTTTCACTGGTTTTATAGGTGCGCAGGAAAGTAAGTACTTCTTCTCGAAGGGGGGGATTCTACACGACTCTTTGATACGTCACAACTATGAACTCCGTAGTCCAAGTATCATCTCGTAAAATATACCGTTTTCCAAATTGTTTCGAGCAATTTTTTTGACAAGCGAATCGATAAGTGAGATGATAAAATTGCACTCCCTACTAGATGATCGTGTCCCTGAAAATCGTTTTACTTTCAAACTTTTTACTTTTACTACCAAAGAGTACGATTGAATCCTTTCGATTTTCTTTCGTATAATAATCGAGTAACGCGTTCGAAGATATTTGAACATCGAATTTAATCGAATAAGCGTACATTGTGTCAACTCAAACAAAAAATTCGAAATAAATTTTTCATCATTTGAGAATTACACGCGCACGCTTCTAATCGGACTCTATTCTAACTATTACGAATCGGCGATTCGTTGATAAGAAATACGGCAAAAGTAAAAAGTAAGGGAAAATATGCAAACGAAGCGCCTGACGGTTCAATAGAGGTGGCGGTTTCGTTGTCTTTCGTTCCCTTAACAATTTATATCACGTTGACGTACTACGCTCCGTTCACGAGACTTATCATCGTTTGCCGGGTATTTACAATCGCGTTACCTCCGCCACATTGATCGATCGTTAAACTCACATGAATTATGGTTAAAGTTGTAAGATTCAGGATTTCGATCGAACATTTACTCTCGCAGATATCGCGTTTTGCCTCGATCGTCGTCACACGTTGCTTAGTTCGTCGATCGAAATTTTATCTATTTAAACGAGAAATCGATCTTCGATATGTCGTTTCCCAGTATCCGATCGATAACGTGTCGGTTTCTATTGAAAGATACCTCGCGCCATTTTATATACGCGCACGGAGAAACAGTGGAATATAAACAGTGGCCGACGAAGCGAGAGAAATAAGATTTATACAAATTTCGATCGAGGAAATTCATCTTCCGATTCGAAAGACGGTTGACAGAGGAAAGAAAAGGATATTTCAGCAAGGATAACGCGATATTAGAGCACGAGATTAATACGTCCCTCTCGTTTCAATATCTCGTTCAGTTATATAGCAGGCCGATCGTTCTTACAATTCAAATAAAAAGTAATAGAAGCAACGGATCATTTTTAAACGTCTTGCAAGCCTAGATGATGATGATGATGATGATGATGATGCTGAACTGAACGCATGATGCTGCGCAAAGAAAATTATAAAATTGGTGCTTCAAAGTTTTTTTTCTCGGCTCGTTATACGAGAAACAAACAGACACGGCCTTAATTTGTCAATATTTTTTCTTAACAAGCAGGAACTTGTAATTATTGGCCTTAGTTTAAGTAAGAGGAGCGAGAATATATCAGAAAATCAGCGTGTCGTTTTTTACGGCACAAGATTCCCTAGAATTGTTTTTTTTTTTTTTTTTTTTTTTCTTTTACTCGTGATCATCTAGAAGTATTGTTCGACAATTACGAGGGACGCGAACAGTCTTAAAGCCGTTTGAATCATTGTCCGTTGCACCTTGTCGGTCGTTCACGAGATGGAACATTATTGCGGCCGAGATTATTATCCTTGCTTGTTGAACATAATTCGTTCGTGTGTTTCGAAAGGCTGAGCGATCCTCCCGAGCGGTGTGTATACGTTTTATATTGCCTAACGCGCGGATACACGAGTGCTCCAGTCTAACTCATAACGCCACGAGCATTCTCGGGTCACTTTCGTGATCGTGCATCAACGTCATGTACATATTCCGTTGTTTCGAGATCGGCCAGGCTTGAGAGAGTCGACAGCCGAAAACGAGATAAATCCATTCCTTTTTCGGCTACTTTGACAAATAGACCTTCGAGTTTCGAGTTTCAGTAGCATTGAACGGTTTGAACAGTTAATTAATACACCGTTGCACAATTGTCTGCCATTTCGTTCACACACGCCAAAAATTTCATATTTATCGTGATACGTAGGCAACACGATCCCCTCCTTAGATTAATCCGTTATATTTCACATCGAGCGATTTCGCATCAAGTTTCTCTAAATTTACATTTAAATGTAATTAAACGAACGTGTAACTTTTGTCATCCCATTTAACGAGCACGATTTTTCCCGTTAATTGAGAGAATCAATGTAATTGTATTTTTGTATTTTTACGTGCATTTGATCCTTTTCATTTTGCTAATTTATTTGCAACGAACGATAACAAAAGTGTCATTTAAATTGTCCCCGATCGTTATTCGTTTAGTAGTTCAATTGTACACGAGTATTCTCCACTTTTAAAAATAGAACGAAATTGATGTGAGAAAGAAAAACTTGAAGCAACTGAACTGAATAACTGCGTCACGACAACGACGGGTTCGTGTGATAATCGCTGATGCAATTCTACGAGCAATTCGTGCTCATCGTCTCAATGGAAGATCGATCGATCTTCCATTGATGCATATTCCGTTGTCGTGTGAAAATATAACCTCGATGAGATACTTCTCGTTTCTTCTACGCGCTTACATTTCTTGCTTTCGTTAAAAATACGAAGAAATTCTCGTCATAAAAGGTTTTCGATTTGTTTGCTGTTACAATTTCTTCGAAATTAAATCGGTTTACGACAAGTAAAAATGGCGGGTAATATGAAACGTATCATTCATAGATGTACGTTTTTACGAGGTTGTAAATGACACATCACGATCTACGCTATTCTAAAGTAACCGAGAGATATTTTTTCTTTATGCAAATGCGATTCCTACGTGCTCGGCCTAGATGTTATTCCAGTATCTTTCATCGATATGTAAATAACATTGATCGTTACGTATGCGATGAGACCTCGTCTAATCTTATGTAGTATGTACACCGTCCGCTGTATGTGCATGCATAAATTTTACGTGCACGATGAAACGTACACGGATCGAGTAATTTTATTATGATCGACCAACTTTTTTCGTCGTGAAAAAAAAATAATACATATCGATATATTATCATCAATATCGCGCGAGTATCGAGAAGTGGTTCGTAATTATACGTTTAATAAATTTTTAATCAATTATATTTAAGGTAAAAATTACTTCAACAGCTGTTCGTTATCGTATTTTCGATCACAAATATCTCGCATAAATATGCAAATTTTGTCTCGATATAAGTGACGTCGATCTTGAACGAAATAAATATCTTTAATAATTAGCGGCCAACGTTGGAGGAAAGTTCCTGATCCTCGCTCCTCATTGTCTCGATTTACGATGTTTTCATCCAAACATTTATTATTTCACAATTATCACGGTGTCAAAGCGGTATAACTTGACCATGATCTTAATTAATACGAAAAATCTCTGCGATGCTAAAATGAAAATTAATTTTCCTCCGCCGGATCTTGTATTTCTTTCTTCTTCTTTAAATTACTGCACGTCTCATAAATGGATACTTCGAATAATTTAAATCCTCGTTTCTTGCACGTTAAAAAAGGAGATGCACGATCAGAATGAAGCTTCGGCGTATCTGTTCTGCTTATTAATCAAAACGAACGTTATAAAAGTAACGTTTCATTGACGCTTAATGACCACGGGGATGACCTGATTTTAAGTCGGATATCAACGTTGTCCGAGAATACGTGACATTCGTTATCGCGTTACGTTCAGCTCGCTCCAAATCTTCGCTGACTTTCCGAATCTCGAATTATAAATCGTAGAATTAGTAAACGTTGGTACGCAATAAAATGCACCGTTGAAAACGATGACACCACCGTTGATACGATACGAAGATGTATCTTATGAATCTTAGCAAAACTCGTAGTCGCGTGGTAAAAGATAATCAGATATTACATATTTTACGTAATAATTATACGATTAAAATAACATTTTTATAACTTTTTTTGATCAAGGTATTATTTGCGATGTTATTTCGATGTTATTTTTATTAATTTAAATTAAATCGCGATTTTTTTTCTTCGTCCAATATTAATTTCCACCAATTTTCATTGCTTTTCCGATGTTCAATTAAATTTATCCCATTAGAAGGTGATTTATACGAGTATATACTCTTAACGGTATAAACACCAGCCAATGGTGTTATACATTTTATCACACAAATAATTTCTCGCTTCGTTCCTATATGGATCGAATAACGAAAAACGCGGGTATATAAATATCGCACACAATCGTAAAATTTTCGTTACGTTAAATAATAAATCATTTTAACACAGAATTCAGTAAGACGAAATTATGAATAAATGAAACGCGCGTAGGAATATTGAAAATATTCTTGGTTCGAACGAATATTATCATCCTGTATTACGATTCGTTGCAAAATAAATCAGAAAATATCTGGAACGTGAAGATAATCGGATCGTTAAACTCGATTCCATTATTTTTCATCGCCTTTGACGGAACGTGCGTAAATCAATTATCGTAAAAAAAAAAAAAAAAAAAAAGAAAAAGAGAATCGTACTCCCTTCGTCGTCGATAAGAATTTCACTCTTGACATTGAATAGGCGAGAGGTTTTAATATAAAGTTATCTTTCCATTAGTTCCCGATATATCGTCTTATTTCACTCGGTGATCATCGATGCGGAAGGGATATAACAATGTAATCTGAACCGAAGTCGTTAATTATCCGCCATGCCTTCGTAGCATTCGACAGCAGCAACGATATTCATGGACGATATTTTTTTCTAATCGATTTGCTTCCGGATGCTCCTTGAATCGGAATCTATGTCTCGTGGGTGGACGTGAAATAGCGGCGAGCGTGGGTGCGGTATTGGATATCAGCATTGGATTATAAGCACGTGCCGTCCGTTAGTCTCGTCTGGTCGCGGTTGATCAATCTCAAGTGCCGTTCAATCGATGGAAATCGAGATAAAGGAAACTGATACGCGATCCCATTTAATTAAAACTATCCGGATATATTTTCCGTATTCCTTCCGAACAAAACGCATTCCGAAATAGAATGCGTATCGAGATAGGCCGCGTGTTAAATAGATCATAAAGTCGGCGTTTCGTGTTCGTTCCGTGAAATCGTGCAGTAACGATACGTGGAAAAATTGCCAAGTCCACGATCGGTGTATGGTGCAAATCGGTCGTGCATGCCTCGTTAAGGGTAGAACCAAGAAAATGATATAGTTTTTCCGCGGACACGATCGAGAAATACAATC